CTTCATCATACACACTTTGCTCTAAATTAAAGTTAGTTATACAGTATTTATCTCACTACCTATACTAATTATTTATCGGAAATAAACAGGGAGCATCGCGCAGGCTCAATTCTTTGGTCGCAAGCTGAGTTAAGCCACGATTTGACTTTGGAGCTCCAACCTACTTATATACTGCTACCACTAATAATAATGGAAGTGCTTCTGATACCTTGACAACTGTACGCCTGAAAAGCAGCGAAATTTAGAAAATGACTACCCGATCGCATGTCACCAGTTACTAGCTGAAAAGAGACCTATGCTGCGTAAACGGTTGTCTGTTTCACACGTCAAATGATCAGAATCTGTATGTACCGATAGTAGTTCTCGAAGAGTCTGTTTATCAAGCATTGCATAGTAGATCCCAAATTACTTCGTCGCACACTTTCAAACCAAATGAAGGTCAGCTTAACAATGGGATCCAACCCTCTTTCCCTTCCTCATCCAGACCGCCTGATGCGACAGTCGAATGTTCAAGGAGGCTGGAACGAGTCGCGTAAATCCTATGAACCGACAGAATGCTTGGCGATAACAGTAGTAGTAGTAGTTGTTGTTGTTATTGTAGAAGTAATAGAAGTGGTAGTGGTAGCAGTATTCGTGCTAATGGCGGTATTAGTAGTTATGACCATAGTAGCAACAGTGGCGGTGTTGGTAGTAGCATTGTTCCTAGTGTTAGTATAAGTTATTGATGTAGTTGTTATAGTAGTAGCAAAAGAAGTAGTATAAAAATTCGCTGTAAAGAATATAGAGAAATCCGAGGATCTCGAGTCAAAATGACATTTGCCCGAGACAAGACTCCGACTAGCTCTACAGCAATTGTTCAGTGAGTTCATCAACTTGGTATGAATCACATTCCACTTCGTAGCTCCTACGCACTCTCGGCCTCCTCTTAGCCAGTCTCAGCCGAGGACAGGATGCTAGCCTGCTACCTCAAGAAAAGAGGAGCGTAAAAATAGCCAATTTTTACCAGAGTTTTGAGTTAAATCCATCGACCTTTTTGATAGCAAATGCATATTCTGACATGTTTTATGGAAATTACACTTGCTGGCTGTAGGCTTTTCGATGCCATTTCTCTATCCCATCAACATCGAGAATCCTGACCTCGTAAGTCGACTGGTAGTTGTCTCCTCTTGCCGAAATGGGAAACCCCTCAAAATATGCATGTGCGCGTAAAAAAAACTCACTTTTTCATACAGACCTGGCCAATGAGATTGTGAAAATCTGCGTCTCTACTCGGCACAGATCGTTGCCTGCGAGCACATCTATTGGACCATCCGACCGCCAATAATCTGCCCTCGTCCACATATGGACAGGAGAGAGGATGGATAGGAAAAAACAAGAGAGAGAGAGCTAGAAAGAACAGGAAAGGAGTAAAGTGAATAATGATGGACGGATAGTGGAGTAGGTGGCGAGTGAAAGAAAGGTGAATAATGCAAACAAATATTAAGAAGAGAATAGATTATAGAAGGTGAAAGAAGAAGCAATAAGTATGTGGAGTAGAAAATGAGAGCAGAAATATGAGAGGAATGGTTGTGAGGAAAGGAAGGATGATGACATACACGCATAAACATAAACACACACAAACACAAGCAGACACAACTAAAAGGAAAAAGAGCAAGTGAGACATGATGCGAATAAAATAGACGAGCTGAACGGCAACGATGATGCGCGTGAAGAGGTTGAGAAATGAAGGAAAGCGAGGAAATGTGAAAATTGAGAAGAGCCAATAAGTGGCAGGAAGATTGGGCAAAATGAGAAGAGACTAGAAGAGGAGAGAAGGCGGGTGGCGCTATTCGAACCTGCCAGAATATGCTTTCAGATAAGGCGAAAGTGGAAAGTGAAACAGTCATAGAAACTCGGTAAAATCGCAGGAAAGTCAGGCTCTATTTTGAGGCAGCAGTAGAAAAAGCACAGTTGCTGAAAGTAAATTTAGCTGTAGCAACAGGAGCAGCGCGAAAAAGGGTAGCGAATTTGTGTGGAAAGAGGCCAATGATCCGCAGCCAGAGGAGAAGGGAGCCGGGTGACGAGAGCCCGAGGTGTGAGACAATAAAAGCCGCGAAAATGGCGCCCCATTGTCGGACAACTATTAGTACAGTTGGGATGTAGCCTGGCCGGACGAGGCGCATCAGGCGGTTCTAGAAGTCCAGACAACGAAGAGGGGAAGGCTGGGAAAAAAGTTGTCCATGATAAGAGTAGCTCTCGAGGCTGCCAAGAGGCCTTAAATACGAACTCCGTGTCTTCTTGATAGTCTCGAAGACTACTTATATCGAAATTAAGTAGCCACATAATCGACAACCTCGCCACAAGTGCCAGTGAGCCTGTCCTGAATGTCACATCTGCCCAGTGAGTCAATGGCAACCGTGAGCGTGCAGTG